TTATGCTTTTTGAATGTCATTTAACACTGGTAAGATCTAAATGTGTTGAAGTGCCATCAGGGAAGATGAATAAAAGTTCTAATCTAAATAGAATCTATTTAAAGGTAATTTCTAATTTTTATAGGAAAGGTAAAACGAAGAAATCAAGTTCTGTATTTGCAGCATTTCTTGACAGTTAGTGATGCTGTAAATTATACAGCTGTTCTTCCTCTGTATGGATTTTGTAGTACTCCCAGCAATTTATAGGTCTGGAGTGCAGCTGCTGGAAGTCATTTATTCCCAGTTCTATATTAAATCTGTCCTATACAAATGCATTAACATTCAGTACAGAGCTCAAGGGCTTATGTGTTTTTCTTTCTTGCCCTGAGTTGTTGTCCTGTAAGTGTTTGCAAGGTATGCAGAAAGCAACATTAAAAAACTTAAGCTGATACACATGAAAAAAAAAAAAGGAAAGAGTATTCTGTATGATAAATACTTGAAACCAGCTCATTTTGCAGTTTAGCTGAACAGCAGAAACAAAACCTACAGTTAACATGTCTGAAATTGGTAATGCTAATAAGCTTGTTTTGATGGATTAGCACTTCAGTTCCGTTTCCTTGAGTGCCACTCTCTGTGCATGTCAATTGTACGCGCCTGCCTGTTACAGAATCTCAGCACTCCCTGCAGGGCTCGAATTGCGTGAGTCTGAAGAGACTGCGTGAGGCTGTGGCATTGATTCACTTGGTTCGGCTCATTTTAGTTTTGGATATTTTTTAATGAGGAAAAAATGAAGCTAGCTTATTTTAAGTATTTGGAAAGTATTTATAATGAATATTAAAAACAGTTAAACTGTAACTGGAGTTTGAGAGAAGAGTCGAGGCAAGGGCCAGAACATTTGTGGAGTATGTAATCTGTGAAAAAACGACAGTAGGAACAGGCTGCCTGATACAAATCGTGTGTACCTGTTTATTGTTGATGATTTCACATTTTTCCATACTGAGAGATTAAATCTAGGAAAATTGAACTGTGCTCTATTTAAGACCAGGAGAAACTTGTACCTAGGGGAGCTTGAGCTGATTCGTTGGAGAAAGCGATCCTGAACTCTTGTGGCAGGTGCAATATGTTTGAACATGATTATTTGAGTAAAAAGAAGGCTAAACCAGAACAGGCTAAATTGGAAAGATCTATTTGTTTGGTTTCTGTTAAACTGTGTATCAGTAAAAAAGCAAGTGGACCGTGTATAACATGATTTTGCAATACTAATGGTTTTACTTAAATAGTTTCCAAGTAGCCTAATACCACTAAGGCAGAGGATGAAATGAGTTTTCAATCTAATGAATAACCCCAAATCACTTCTAATTTTAAAATGTCAGAAAGCAGCAAGTAAAAAATAATCACATATGGTATAATGAGATTTTAGTAAAATTGCAGAAATATGTTATTGCGGATAAATGTCATTCTGCAACATTTTTCAGTGAGTCATCTTCCATTGAAAAAATTCCAGGCCTAAATATTTCCTGAAAGCTTTAAACAGCTGTATTCTGTTCATTGCACTACTTATGAATGTTGGTACTTGATACTTTCCATACATTTGAAATAACTTCATTATGAAAGATGATATATTGAGTCTTGCTTGGTGTGTTTTCCTTTGATTTTTTAATTTTTGTACAAATGTTTACAGAAGAGTTTTAATCTGTCATTTCTCACTAATACCAGTTTTCAAGTGTCTTTACTGCTGTCAAAGTAGTCAGATCCATGTCCTGCACCGTTGCCTTGTATTATTTAGGTGTATATGCACAAATTCCTTGATAACTTTACATTAAATTATAAATTATCTTGACTACTAGAAGCGTGTCAGACTCTGGGCTCATTTCTTTCAAGGATGGATGTTAACCAGCAGATTATTTAGCTTGAAGTAAGATGGAATTTCAAACAACCTAGGTCAAGCTAACACTAACTGATGCAACGCGCTTCTGAAACAAGTGCTGACACCTACCATCTCTTTAGCTTTCTGGAAATAGATCTATTTCCATATTAAGAACTAAACACTGAAAACAAAGCAAGTTTAGACAGGAAAAGAAAATTATGCCATGAAAACACTGGACTGTGGAATATTTTAAACTGTATTTGACAGCAGCATGAAGAGAAGGTATTACTTAGGTAGAAATGTTGACAGAGAAAAAAATTGTTGCTTTACTATTTTTTTTCTTTACAAAGACAAGATTGCTGCTTTACTGATTAAATTATGTGAAAGAATTGTAGGCTGCTGCTGCTGCCCTACTTTTGGGTGCTTCTACACTGGCCTATCCAATTTTCCAGTGCTTGGAATCAAGTGAGGTTGGTGTCTCACCAACTCCTTCCCATCCGTTATTTCCTTGCCTTAATCTTCCTTATACTTTTTCACTCTTTTGTGCTATATCTCCTCTGTTTCTTGTCTCCCTCTCTTTATTCTATACTTCTGCTGTGTTTCCTCCCTCTCCTTTCCCTCACTTCCTTCATATCTTTGTTAGCCATCTCCTTCTCTTCAAGGTTTGCTAAGACCTTCTGGAGGTCCCTAATTTCAGAGCCCTCTCCCTGATGAATGTTTCCTGCTCTAGTTCCAGGCAAGCTCACTGATGACAAATGTGACTGTAACTGTACTAGGAGAAAGCCTTTGTGAGCTGATATATTAAGTCATATATGTTTGCAGCAAATGGATTGCTGGACCAAAAGAAAAATTCTTACATTAATTCTTAAGGGAAAAAATTGCTTTTCTACCTTTCAAAATCAGCTGCTTCATTTAGAAGACAGAAAGTTAACAGAGTGGGATATTAGAAGTGTGGGGCTCAAATCCTGAAATAATGGATAGAGAAATGACAGCAAGGTGTTTCTTTGTCGTCTGTAACTGGGCTACAAGTTGCTGAAGCATGAGAGACAGAATATTGTGCAGTAGTTGCAATCTGATGTGACAGAGTCATCAAAAGAAACTGTATCTTCCCCAGCTGAGCATTAAATTCCTGAAAAACTTAAGTAAATTAAAAAAGCAGGGATGTTAACCAGTTATGGGCAGCTTTTGTGATTTTATGTGGGATAACTTTGCTTTTCTGTGGTATCACATATTCGTTTGAGTACAATTAATAGTAAATAGGTATAGAAACAGAGAGAAAGCTGCAAGGTTTCACTTCTGCTGGGAACCTCAGTCTTGTAAAT